ATTATTATGGATTACCATCAACCATGGATTGGCAATCAAGTGACAGAGATATTTTTTATTTAAAGAAAAACAAACTAAAGTTAAGCATGATTTTCTTCCCTGTAGTTAATTTTGTAAGCTCAGTTACCTTGTGTTCGTTTTTGTGTTTCCCAATTTCTATCTGGTTCCTTACATTTCTTTCAGGTTCAAACGATAATGTGAAGTAATCATAGCAAAACCATTGCAGCCTATCCTTTAAAACGTAATTTTAAATATTTATGGTATTAAAAATACCTTCCTTAGGTAAGAAAAGATACTCAAAGCTGCTGATCGACTATTTTGTTTCCTATCAAAGGTTTCAAATCTAAATGTGTTAGAGGTTTGCAAAAACAAAAAAGAAAGAAAAGCTGGAGGCAGCTGGGTAGACAGGATAACTGGAAACATTTTTCAGACGTCAGGAACCACAATGTATAATATTACCCAAGGAGGGCTTCCCAGAAAGCAGCATGTTTGAATTATAAAGCAAGAGCCAAATTCCCATAGTGGTACTGAAATTCAAGGGTTGGTATGGTATTATTAAAAGAAAAATTGCACAGAAGGGAAGAATATAAGAAGGGTGATAACTGGAAGAAGTTGGAATGCAAACAAACCTAGGCTCTCAATGTAAAACCAACACTTTATCTCTCCCAAAATACATGTACAAGCACATCTACACACCCAAACTCAAAAGCTATCCCCTCTTCCTTCACATTTTATTTAGAAAGAGTCATAAGTGACAGATGATACAGAAAACTCTGGTTCCTGTCTTGAGTTTCCCAGCCATTTGGGGTTTGAAATAAAAGAACTTGTTTCAGTGGATGAACAAGGGAGAAAATTCAAGGAACTGCAGACCTACATCATTCTGCTCTTGCAAAAGTGCCAAACACAGAATATCTGATTATTTCCAACCATTTATAAATCTCAGCCTATAAAAGCTTTGCTTGGCCATGAAAGATCTCCCAGAGGTACAAAACAAGTCTTAGCCAGAGAAGCTGGTAACATTTCTTCAAGTCTAACATTTAAGGCAGAGGGAATTCAACAGGTTCTGGTTGAACATCAGGCAAAGTTTCCTAAGAGTATAAGCCAAGTGTTTCTCAATCTTAGCAACTTTAAGATGTGTGTACCTCAGTTCCCAGATAGCATGCTATCTGGGGAATTCTAGGAATTGAAATCCATATATCTCAAAGTTACTAAGGTGAAGAAACACTTACATAAGCAGTTTGATGGCTTCCTGAGGGATGCATTCAGACAATTGCAGATACCAGCTTTCAAGAATGATTCAAACTGGATTTTTTTAAAGGAAGGAACTGTCCATTCCACTGCTGGGATTTTATGGAGTCAGACATTTGTATATTGAATTCCTCATTTGTGATTATTTTTATGGAATTGCCCAAATTCTGTTGGGAACTCACATTGGGAGAACATCACCTTCACCTCTGCTTTCTATTGTAAAATAATTCCATAAAAAGGAAAATTTCCAAGCTTCCCAAAAGGAAAGAAGGCACTAAAAGCAAGCAAAATGTACCATTGCTATAACCTTTTTGGAAACAAATTTCCCTGAGCTATCCAAAAATAGGTTACAATGCTTCAGAAACAGAATATAGTCAAATTGTAATTTCTATTTGTTCAAATCGGAGATGCTGGCAAGCTGTTATATCTCTCCTATTTCATTCTGCTGGCATGGAAAACCACACAGCATGCTCTTCTTCTAGGCACTCATGCCAGAGTGAGCCTTGCTTTGCTGCTACCACAATCCAAGGAACAGCTGGAATCAGAATGCAACTCCTGGAAATAACCATGATGGTTACTAAGCTGCAATTCTGCCTATATCTGAGGAACAGCATCATTGCATAATGGAATGTTTTAATGGGAATAATTACACAGCCAAAAGAGAAACACATTCAAATAGCATAAGTCTATTTGGAAATCTGTGATACTATACTGCAGCAATGGAGAGATTTGGGGAAGAATAATGATTTGAAATTTGGGATGCTCAGTTGCCTGACAGAATCCGAATCTTAAAGCCACCCTTCCCAGCCTTGATTCCTCCAAATATACAACTTCCATCAATATGAATCAAATGAGTCAATAGTTCAGAACAAGTATATTTGTGATCCTAAAAGAGAACCATAGGATTAGAAAGTGGCATACAGGCCATGGGGTCTATCTCCCTGTTCAGTGCAGAAATCCAAATTAATCTACCCAAATAAAGAGTTGTCTACAGTTGATTTGTAAATATGAGATAAGTCAACATTGGTTTCAAGGATACATTTAGTCTTACTATTAGAAGGTTTAGCTAACCATAAATCAGTGTCTGCCATCTGATATTTAAATCTATTATTCCATGATGTACACTCTCAAATAAAAGAAAATAGATCTATTTCTTCAGTGTGACATTTTTTGAAATATTTAGGATACCCTCAGTCTCACTCTCTTCTAAATGGTAAATGTTCCCATTTCCTTCAGCCCTCTACATAGGTTTTAGCTTCCAGAACCCAGATCATCCCCATTGCCCTTCTCTGAACTTGCTTCAATTCCTCTGAAAAAAATCAAGCTACGTTGGTTGCTAGGAGGCAAAAATGACTTGATGACTCATAATAAAATCAATCAATCAATCAATCTTCTTCCTGATCCCAGCTGATTCTGAACGTTGTCTTGGCAATAGGTCTACAGTTCCAGAATATTTGTCTATACTCTTTTTTCCCCCCAATTTCCACGATGTGTTTTTTTTCTTTTTTCAGATATTCACTAAGTTTCACTACAGACACACAGTTTCTCCTATTATACTTATCTTTTTTCTTTTGTACTTTTAATACTACAATTTTAAAGAACTCCCACATAATACTGAGCTCTTCTTCCATGATCATGTTCAATTGGAAATCTGAAATACTATACCACATAGTCCCAAAATGGCCTTCTGAAGACTATAGAGTCAATATAGAATCAAAAAGGCAACAAACAGAATGGAATGGGACAACTTGCCATGGCCAGCTCACCATGGGACAATTTAACAATACAATTATTTAAAATAAATACAAATTTATTTAAAATTTTGTCATTCTGTCCCTCTTTTCACATTTCATTCTGTCCCTCTTTTTGCATCCTTTCTTTAATTATTCTATTCCACCATTTCTTTGATATTAGTGTAACTTGTCTTGCAGCAAGTTGTCCCACAGCCAATTGGCCGTGGTGAGTTGTCCCATGGTGAGTTGGCCATAGTGAGTTTGACACAGCAAGTTGGCTATGGCGAAGTATCATAGACCCCAAACAGAAACAGTTCAGTACTGATGTAATCTGTTCTGAATATCCAGCTTCATAAGGATCTTAGGAGATGCATTTTGTTCTATCTGGAATTTCTAAAACATCTTTAAAGGAAGCATCACATGCAATGCATTTTAGTAGTAGTCCCATTGCCAGAGTACATTTAATTGGATCTGTCTAACTGGCACTGGCAATGCACAGATTATTCTATTTGTTCTTATATAGGAAATGTATCAGAATACCCCTGATATAGTCCCAACAAATATCAGATCTAAAACCACCATCCATACTTTTTTTTTTTTAATTTGATTTATATGCCGCCCTTCTCCGGAGACTCAGGGCGGCTTACAGTGCGTTAAGCAATAGCCTTCATACTTTTGTATATTTTTATACAAAGTCAGCTTATTGCCCCCACAAACTGGGTCCTCATTTAACCTACCTTAGAAAGGATGGAAGGCTGAGTCAACCTTGAGCCTTGGAGAGATTCGAACCAGCAGTAAATTGCAGGCAGCTGTGTTAATAACAGGGTGCTTTAAACCACTGTAGTACCAAGGCTCTTTTTGTTTAATCTTATCTGGATTTTTTTCAATTTGTTTTCTCTCATCCATTGTAAAACTGTCTGTTCAGATAGGAAAAATAGAGCTATGTATCATCCACATACCGATTTCACCCTAGGCCAAATATCTAAGTATTTTCTAACTTAATTCTATGATACATTATCAGCATATATCATTTCCTGTCATTTCTATCTGATATTCAGGCCAGAACCGTATTGAAATCAACATAAATACTTAGGATCAAACAAGACCAAAGCAGTGAAAAGCCCTGAAGCAGATCATAGCAACACAAACCCCATGTTGGAAATAGCCAATCTAATCACAAATTTCCATTCAAATGACTAAATGCACTCTGTGGGTGCACCTACCCTCTGGAATCAGCTCCCCCTGGAGCTCCGAATGGCCCCCGACCTTCGCTCTTTCCGCCGCAAACTAAAAACGTGGCTATTTCGCCTGGCCGGCCTGGACTGATGGGGGTTTTTTAAATGGATTTTAATTGATTTTAAGGTTTTTATGTGTAATTTTAAGGTTTTTATGTGTAATTTTTAATTTTAAAAATTAAAAAAAATTAATTTTTAAATTAAATTTAAATTTTTATTTAAATTTAATAAAATTTTTAATTTTATGTGTAATTTTTGTTTCATTTTTCTGTTTTATTGTTGTGAGCCGCCCTGAGTCCTCTCGGAAAAAGGGCGGCATATAAATCTAAACAAACAAACAAATAAATAAATGTGTTGACATAAAATCCTGTCATTATACTTAACATGACTATTTGGCCAAATCTGATGGAGAAGTCAAAACTTGTAGTCAATGTGGAACAAATTGCCTTCAGAGGTTGTGGGTGCCCCATCGCTGGAGGCTTTTAAGAAGAGACTGGACAGTCATTTGTCAGAAATAGTATAGGTCCCCTGCATGAGGAGTGGGTTGGACTAGGTGACCTCCAAGGTCCCTTCCAATTCTGTTATTGTTACTAAAAAATAGAGAAATAAAGAGCTACATTAATCTATAATAGATTGATTGACAAAAAGAATGAGAGGGGATGGAAAAGGGATGGATGGATGGATAAGTAAATAGATGATAGACAGACAAACAGTTAGATAGACACAGATAGAAAGAATATATAAAAATATTTCATTTGAGAACTATACTGTTCACCTTACAAACCTGGCAAAAATGGAATTATCCTTTGTTTAGGGTCCTTCTGTCCTCCTTCCATTGGAAATTTGTCCAACATTTGCATCTTTAAAACAAAACAAAAAAAAAGATCGTGTGTGTGAGAGACACAGTTAACATAGCCACAGAATAATAAATGAATGTTTACATTAAAAATAAATCAGTATTGCAGACAAACAAATATAACCGTAGCCACCTGGTGTTTTCAGAAATACAAACTCCACCAGACAGACTTTCTAAGACTGATGCCGCATCTGCTGTTTTTAATTTCTTGAAAGATTTCATGTTTAGAGTCCTTGTGGAAACAATGCCTCCTCATGCAGAAACAGGAAAGGCTCAATTTTTCTAAACCCTTAGGCAATCTCTCTGATTTCTATATTGTGCACATCCATACTTACTGCACCTTGCAATGAACAGATCCCCCCCCCCAATCTTAATAAGAGAAGGGACGGATAGCTTTAGCTTTCCTCCCTTTCAATGTGAGTTGGAATGAGAAAAGATTTATGGGAACGTTCAACACTATGTCTGCAAATGGATGTCAAATTGTGTGTGTTCTTTCTGATTCACCAGCACGGGCAGACAAAAAGAGAAGAAACGAGGTAAAAAGGTCCACCACGACACTGTTCACAACCATCTTGATATACAGGCAGTCCTTGATTTATAACAGTTCATTCAGTGACTGTTCAGAGTTCCAACGGCACTGAAAAAAATGACTTATGATCATTTTTCACAGTTGCAACTTTTGCAGCGTCCCCCACGGTCACATGGATCAAAATTCAGATGCTTGGCAACTGGCTCATATTTATGACAAGTTGCTGTGTCCTGAGGTCATGTGATCGCCTTTTGTGACCTTCTGACAAGCAAAGTCAATCAGGAAACCAGATTCATTTAACAGCTGGGTTACTAACATAACAATTGCAGTAATTCACTTAAAAACTGTGACAAGAAATGTCATAAAATGGGGCAAAACTCACTTAACGTCTAAAGTAACAACAGAAATTTTGGGCTTAATTGTCATCATAAATCGAGGACTACCTGTATTGAAATATCTTTTTTCAGCATACCAATATTGTGAGCCACCCAGAGTCATATATTTGAGATGGGCAGCTACATAAACTGAAAAAAAATAAATAAGTAAAAATATGGTTACCTTTTAAAAATCTCACAGTAAGCTTGGTAAGTGTTAATTGACTTTAGAGAGAAGTAGGGATCTTTGTCTGAATTCTGCTCAAGCTGGATATGAGATGAAACCAAGCAGAGAGGTAAAAACAATCTCTGATCTAGAAACGTAATGAGGGCCCTTCAGATGTTTTAACTTCAACGTCAACTCCTCTAATTCTTGGCCATTGGTCACCCTCAGTGGTGGGTTTCAAAATTTTTTACTACTGGTTCTGTTGATGTGGCTTGGCTTGATAGGTGTGGCAGGAGAAGGATACTGTAAAATCTCCATTCCCACCCCACTTCAGGGGAAGGATACTGTAAAATCTCCATTCCCTCCCCAATCCAGGGGAAGGTTACTGCAAAATACGCATTTCCTCCTGATCAGTGGGACTTGGGGGGCAGAGAATAGATGGGGGCAGGGCCAGTCAGAATTTTTACTACCAGTTCGCCTAACTACCCAAAATTTCCGCTACCGGTTCTCCAGAACTGGTCAGAACCGGCTGAAATCCATCTCTGGTCACCCTGCTGGAAGCCAGAATACTAGGCGAGCGTTAGTTGCCTATCTTGCACTTCAGAATCAATGTCAGGACATACCACATGGCCTAATTCAATAAAGAAAGGCAGATTCCTGTGTTCAAGCTCACATCTACTGGACTCATGGCGATTTACTAATGAACCTGTGGCAGATGAAGAATCTTTTGAAAAGACACAGCAGGGTATGCAAGAAAGCAAAAACAGTGTTATCAAGACTCCAAGCCCTCACCTGTACTTTTTTTCTTCTCAAATCTAAATTGTTACAATTTCATCTATTGCAGATATTCTAATGCAGTTTTACTACACAGCATTTTCTAATACAACAGTCACAACACGTAATACTGTAAAAGGCAAGATTTATATTAAAAGACTCACATTTTAAAGAATTCACAGTTTCAGCCAAAGTTAGTAGCAAAACTTCCAAGGCCAAAACTTCCCAGGCCAGCTTTATGAACAAGGCACAATATTATAGTGAGAAAACTTCTTAGAGGTTTATATATAGCAGTAGGGTCTACATTCTAGACACAGAAATATGTCTTAAATGGCTGCCAATGTATGTAAAATTAGAGCTGCCTAAGGGCATGTTATAAAAGTAATCGGGTCACTTTCCCAAATGCTTGAAGGAAGCAATCAATTCTTCAACTATTTTTCTTGGAAGAATTAAATCCAGAGGGTTTAAACCAATGTTCTCAGAGGCTCCCTGTGACCATAACTGATGAACAATGATGACATATTTTCATGCTATTTCAAGTAAGGCAGGAATAAAAACTCACATAAACCTAGAAATAGGCAGGTCAACAGTTAAAATAAACAACAACAAAAAATCCTCAAGAAACCCTTAGAAAACCAAAGCCTGATCAGGAATATCAGGGATACTGCTCCACTGATATTGTGGCTGTCAACCTCCTCAAACATGTTAAATGCCCATATAGAGGCTGCCAACTATTTCGATCCATAATATAACCAAGTGAATGCCACAACCTAGGAATCACCAGAGCAAATAACTTTCAATGGTATAGGGGCCTGGTGGCTCAGCAGACTGATAGCATTGTGATTAACACCAGCTGTCTGCAATTACTGTAACTTCGAATCTCACCAGGCTCAAGGTTGACTCAGCCTTCCATCCTTTCTAAGGTAGGTAAATTGAGGATCCAGTTTGTGGGGGCAATAAGCTGACTTTGTATAAATATACAAAAGTATGATGGCTATTGCTTAACGCATTATAAGCTGCCCTGAGTCTCCGGAGAAAGGCGGCATATAAATCAAATTTTAAAAAAATGCTGGTTTTTAACACAAATAAAGCATCTATCATTTTCCACGACTTGAAGACAACTGATGCCACTGCCAGTATGCTTAAAACTAACCAATATTGTCTCCTTGCTGTTAACGGGAATGCAACATGTCACATAAATATGGCTGAGGAAGCTAGTCTGCTCTTTTCTTATCTTACTAAAGCAAAACATTACATTAGCTTCATATCTGATTGCAACATCAAACACGGATAAGCTTGTATTTTTACTATTTTTCCTCCCCTCAAGCTCCACCCCAAAGTGGGACTGCATCACATTAGGTGATCTCAACAAAGGGTTGCATAGAACAGATGTAGGATTCATGTAAGACAAGTTTCTTCATACCATCCAGAAATGCTTGACTGCAACTCTAATCATTAGCCATCTGGAAGACACTATTGTACTTTGAAGAAGGCTGAATAGGCATTTGGGAATGGCCTCCTTATTCTTGGAAGCACCTTGGAATATATGAAAACAAAATAAAAATAGAAATGCACACAGACTTCACCTAGGAATATGTGGGGCAATTTTGGTATTTGATTTTTCCTCTAAGGAAAATTTATCACCTAAATGCTAAAAAAACAATTTTCCCAGACAGTTTACTCCCTCCACTAGATGTAGCAGTAGGAACTTTATCCTACACTCATATTTAAGTACAGAATAGACATTCCTCCTTCTCAAGAAATCATTAATAGAGAACAATTGGATATCAAGAAGACAGAAAGATGGATCTTGATAATGAAAAGCTAAATTAGAACATTTCCCCCTTTCTTGACCACACAACTGTCAGAAATATAATTTATGAAGGTAATTTAGGTTTGTAGGATACCTACATTGTTCCATTTCCTTGTAAAATTAACGGCTTATACATCAGTATTTTCATCTGCTAAAAATATTGCCAATTAAAATTTTACCGGGAGACTATTTTATGTTGAGAAGATCTGAACGATTCAGACACACACTTTTTGTCTGGGAAGGACACTAACATTTATAGCAGATACAGGAGTGAAGAATGTGATGCCATACTAAACATGGGAGAAATGAGACTTTAGCAAAAAAATGAAATACATTTTCATGTCTGCCAAACTGAAGGACTGGGTTTCTCAGGAGAGGTAACTGAGTTGCAAATCCATTCAATTCATGATTACAGAGTATATGATGACTATTTTTTTTCCTTCTAGACGATTTCCCTGTTCTCCCCAGGATGATTCTGCTTCCTCCCAATTGTTTCTCTTGTAACCAGATAGCAACTATCTTCCATGGAAACTGAAGCCCCAGCATCCATGTCAGCATGGGAGACACGTCTGATAGTCTCATGCACTGTTGCAGCAGCATTTGGTTTTTACAAGCATAGAACATGTGAGATGGACCAAGGCTATTCACAATTTGCAGCACCTAAGAATGTGAATGCAGGCATAGTATCCTATTTGGCATGGATTAAATTAGGTGCTTTACTTATACGCATCATGCTGCTCAATTCACCTGATTGCACTTGAAATGCAAACAATCCTTTGCCCCAAACTCCACTGTTCCCCACAAGGAGCTAAGAAATAATTTTGACTTGCATTTGTTTCCTACTTCCAATAGTTCTAATTTTAGAGTTAGCCGATTGTGTCAACAAGGATCAATTCAACCAGTTGGTATCCCAAACCTACAGAAGTTTTTATAATAAACATTTGTTGTAAATAAAATCAGCGAAAAGAGTGTTCTGCTTGGAATGGATTATCATCTTTTCCTTAGTCACTATGGTGCCCTCCTCCCCTCTTCTCATGAGTAGCCTAGCTGACCAGCATTATGCCTGTCTCCTCTACGTATCTTTGAATCAGGAGGAGGAGTAGACTCCACCTCCTCATTGCTAACAGGCTGCAGCTGCTCACAGTCCTGGACCCTCCTGGCCAACTTGCTGCAGCTGTGGCTCACCTCCCTCAGTCTCAGCCTGTTCTCATCCATGGACCAGCTGAGGCTGTTCCACCAGATTAGCATTCTCTGAGCCTGATCCTGACCAATACTCAACTCTACACTTTCCTCTGCAGACTCAAACTCGCCCTCCTCCTCTGAACTCGCATCTGGAAAGGTGTCCGGA